AAATCAGGCTGGCTTCTTCAGAGACTAGCACCACCCAACACAAAAAACCAAAGTTCCACTTGTTTTAAGCAGTGGCAGGAAAATACATACATATAGGAAACTCCGTATAAACTAACTGTGTCGGAGGGCACTTACCACACATCTTATGTTAAGAAATGAAATTCAAACTTCCCCAGCATGATACGATTTATGCTCCTGCACCGGTAAAGCCAGCCAGAAGTTGTCCTTCACTAAAGGTACAGCAGAGTGGACCGGGGAAGTCAGAGGATGCAGTAGCATGTGCACGCTCAGCACCTCCTGCATGACCAGGCAAAGGAAGGAAGGCGCCAGGGCTGAGCAGTGGCTCTAGGCAAAGGGAACAGCAGGTTCCCTGCAGGTACAGTTATGAGTGCTGGCAGAGGGGAGGCCTCTTCTGCATCCTGATGGTCTATGACCATAATCCTGCCGTCACCTCCCTTCCAGTCATTTCCTTATCTCAGGGCTTCTGCTTTGAACCAGCCCCCTTCTGAGGATGGGCTGGCCAGCTCTAATGCAAACAGTCCTACAAACTTAAGGAAAGGAAAAAAAGCAACTGAGCCAATCAGTTAAAATCACATATTCCACTTTGCCACTCTGGTGCCAACCATCGTGTATGAGTTTTCTCTTGGTTAAGAGCAGCTGTGACTAGGACTCCCCGACTCTGGCACCACTTTCACTGCACAGGTCCTTTCACATCACTTCCGGTGTGCTAACAACCATCCTTTCTCCTTTATTAAGCTCGTTCCTGTTACATTAGTCTTCCTAAAAAATGCTCCATGTGCTCACATCACCGACAGACCCCAAAGTGACGGAGGATGCCACATTCTCATCACCTTAATCTCCACTTCATACACCCTCCCCCCTCCCTCCTGAGTTTTAGGTTCATCACACATATCTTCCCTTGATGCTCCACGGAGACCTCAAACACAGCAAAACAAACTGGAGGAACTCCTCAACCTATCTCCCAAGGAGCTGCTCTCATTGCAAGCCACACTTAAAAAATGACCCCTGTGTATAACTTTTGTATCAGCTCCCTAAAACCTATCTTGACCATCATCCACTAATCATTTATTCTGGCAATCATCCTCCCAAACCTGGGAGTTTCCCCCGGCTTTATCCCTTTCCCTTCACACCCTCCAACAAACTTGCCGATTCAACCAATTCCAAGTCCTCCTGTCAATACCATCTTTTCTGCCAAGCTTGCTTTCACACTCTCACTTGTGTAGAACTAATTACTCAAGGAATTTCTCAGAGCTAAACTCAGTTCCCAGTTCCTCCATTAAACCTCCTTTCCCAGCAGTTTATTAGTCCACTCAGTACAAGGCAGTGATACAACACACCGCAGGTCAATACACAACTGCTCTCCTTCCTTCAATCAGTGAGAGTGTACATGCCATTTAACATTACTCCTCAGTACTTGTAGCTAAAAGTCAAGGATGGATTTCTAAAGTCCCTTGTCTCTGCCTCCGTTTTTGCGATGCTCCCCGTGCAATGACAAATGTGCTGTATAACCCACACTATTCTAGAAGCTCATGTAATGTGTGACGGAGAAGCCTGTTTACGAATTCAGTTTATAGATCGCTCTTTAGCCAAGCAGTGTGACCTGGGATGTTTCCCCACCGTCTCCTAATGGAGTCATTCCTCTTCCTCAAGAGGTCTTTTCTTAGGGGGACTTCCCTCCCCTCTGTAGAAAACAGAGCTTGTTCCCTTGAAGTGTGTACATTCAGATTATATCTCAATGCAATGTTATCGCACTCATCTGCAACACTTCCTGGTGCCTTCTTCTACTACTGTTTATTATTAATTGTCATACTGTCCCCGGGGTCCACTGCAGCTCAGATGTGATCTCCCACCTATAGTGATCCTATTCCTGGAATAATTCTTCAGTCTCCTTATCTTTGTTTCCTATTAGCTACCTGCATAAAACCTTGCTTTTATTGACCGCTTTTCCTAGTGCAAATCACAGAGATTGCAGTTAAAAAAAAACTGCATTCTTTAGTTCAGGTTGTACTCAGTTCTAAAATCCACCATTATCCAAACAGACTTTACCTTCCATTGTTGTGGAATGTTATCTTAAGTATGCAAAAATGTGCTATAGTTGTTTATGCTGTGGAATATTACTTTAACTGTGTAAAGGTGTGTTAACTTTTGTTCATGCTACATATGTCTAACTATGTAAAGATGTGTTGCATTTGTTTCACTCTGTCTGCCTAAGGTACCTGATTGGTCTAATAAAGAGCTGAATGCCAATAGCTAGGCAGAGAAAGGATAGGCAGGGCTGTTGGTCAGAGAGAACAAATAGGAGAAATCTAGGCTAAAAAAGGAAGAACAAGAGAAGGAGGAGGCACGGGGCAAGGCAGCTGCTAACCAGACACAAGAAGCAGTGAATGTAAGTTATCCAGAGAGAGAAGGTAAAAAGTTCCAAGGCAAAAGATAGATAAAGAGAAACAGAAATGAGTCTAAGCTAGGCCAAACGTTCAAACTAGTAAGTCTCTGTGTCATGATTTGGGAGGTGGTTGGTAGCCCAAAAGAAAAATGCTTGTATACTTTATCATATCTTAAGCTATAATTCTAGGTTATTCTTTCTCGACCATAAGATAACCACTTCGTTCCAACTATCAAGCTTCTATCACTCTTAATGCTTAATTATACATAAGTCCAAAATCATCTTTAAGTTTTACATATTGTTAAAAATGAGGGATTTTCTTTTCAAAATAATTCCTCAGAAAAGGGAAATCCCCCAATCTCAAGTTCTTGAAATGATCTCAAAAATTACAGAATGCCTTATTTTGAATAACAAAGCACTTAACCCTCAATGACCTCAATCAATTCTACCTTTGGATTATAGAAGGCCTTCTGACAAAAATTAGCCTAATTTTTTTTAAGTGAAGGAAATTATCTAGATATAGCCATTACTGTGGGGATGATCTCAATGTAAGAGATGGCAGGTGTCACAAACAGCCACTGTAGAATCGCCTTTTCAAGGTCATTACACAAGTCATGAACAAATGCCTAATTCAATATATACAAAAGTGTCCTAATGGTATGTGAACAGCAGGTCTGTTGACATAACTTTCTTACTGAACCCACTACATCTCACACCACCTAGAGGGCTGTGAGGAGGCCATGCTCAGGAGCAGGGAATCCTGGAATGAAGCAGTTCTGTAAATATGAGAACAGCAAAGAGTTATGGAATGAATCTGCTGTATTATTTCATATAATCAGATTCTTGAAATGTGGATACATCCGCTGGTTGTTTAAATAGTCATGTAACCAAATCAGCTACAACCCTAGGTTTTTACATGATGGTTAATCTTGTTATTTACTATATGTGGAAACTCCAATTAACAATGCACAAACTTAAGGAGTGGAGTGAATGTTATTTACGACTCTGTAGTTCTAACACTTGGTCAGGTTGGGCAGAGAAGTGAGCCCACAGAATCAACTAAGCAGGACTCATAGGGGCTCACAGAGACTGAAGCAACAGTCATGAACCTTATGAGGTCTGACCTAGGTCCTCTGTATATGCCTTATAGCTGTATAGCTTAGCGTTCTTGTGCTGACCAGTGGGAGTGGGGGTGTCTTTGACTCTTGCCTGCACTTGGGACCCTTTTCTTCCTACTGGGTTACCTTGTCCAACTTTGATAAGAGGGGATTTGCCCAGTTTTATTGTAACTTGTTATGCTGTGCTTGGTTGGTATCCCTGTTGTTTTTTTAAAGGGAAACGGAGGAATAGTGGATCTGGGGGAGAGGCGGGGTGGGGGAGTACCGGGAAGAGTGATGGGAGGGTAACTGTGGCGAGAATGTGATGCCTAAGAGAATAAATAAATAAATAAATAAATGAATAAATAAATAAATAAATAAATATAAATAAGAAGCTGGTAGCAAAGTCCTTGCCAATCATTCATAAGGCCCTGCCTGGGTTCAATTACCTGTACCACAAAATACTAGTAGTACTAATAATTCATATTCCATTTCTATTATTTTCTACCATATTCTCTCAATGACTAGTAGTTATGATAAATACAAAGAGCAGTATTATTTTATAGGTTATTATAAATGCCCTATTATTTACAGCAGCTTAATAAATCCAATACATTGTAAATGTAATACATTCCAGAAACTTCAGTCCTACTCCATGGCCCCAGGGGCTTGATTTCTGGAGGCTGAAATCCTTGTTATTCCAAACTGCATGTTTTGTCATTCTTAGAATCATAACATTCCTAACACTTTTCCTCTTATTTCTCCCAAGAAGAACCCTGGGCTGACGGAGAACTCAGTGCCAGTCTAGTCAGGCAGAGTTCACATCCAGGTCTCCCCCTCTCCTCTCAGTTTTTGTTGTGAACTCCAGTGCTAAGCTCTGGGTACTTCTCTTGGGATTTCCAGGTTTACAATATATTTTCAAGTTATCAATTGCTTTTTATAGGTTGTATTACAAACAGAAAAAAATTCTGGACCATATTAGTGTAATTTTCTTGTTCCTTTAATGTAATTTCTGACTTCTCTCCAGAGGTAAAATGTCTCACAATCCATTCATACCTGCCAGATTCTGGCCCCTGGCAAAACTAACCTTAGCTTTCACAATGTAAAGGCACACTTCTGTCCTGTGACACGCTCTTCCCTTCTGCCAGACGAGCCATCTTTCTAATTAGGAGAGCACCACGCTAGGGACAATCAGGCAGAATGGACCCGGTGATAACAGATGCTGATCCCAAGCACACCACTCAGGAAATCATCCATTATGCAGAGGTGACCTAGGCCAGCTGGCACAAGGAACCCTGCTCACAAAATGACAGCACACTACCCCATACTTCTGGGAAACACATACACCTCGGATCATATTGGTGCTTGATACACTTTACTACGAATCTCTGGACTCTTTAAGGTTGCTCTTGCCTTTGGAGGCTCCCGTGCTATCACTGCTCAGAGTCTCTCAAGGCTGAGGTTTACCAACGGACAGGTATCGAACAACCCATGCTTACCTTCAATCCTCTTTAAAGCGGAAAGACACATATCCTTCCTTGGGAACTCGAAGGGATTGTTGCAGGTACGGATGGTGTCACATTCACATTTCCCATTGATGATATTGCAGCCCGAGATAAGATTTTCATTGCATGGTTCAAAACCGAGCAGCTGGTCTTCATCCCAGTCCTCATCTGTAAAACAATTATGCAGAGAATGGTTTGCTCACTGCTTCATCCACAATTACACAGAGAACGGTTTGCTCACTGCTTCATTCACAATTACACAGAGAACGGTTTGCTCACTGCTTCATTCACAATTACACAGAGAACGGTTTGCTCACTGCTTCAGTCACAATTACACAGAGAACGGTTTGCTCACTGCTTCATCCAAAGGCTTTGAGATCAAACACAGGCTGGGATGTCAAGATGAGCATCCAACTATGAGGCCTTCATTTGCGAAAGGCAGTTTGGGCTGAAAATGTACACATGAATGCAACACAACCTCCTCTTAGTCAAAGGGAAGCCTGAAATACAGCTACATGTGTAGAAATTAAACAGTCACATACACAATCATTTATGATCAAAATTCATGACTCCTATGTGCCACACACCAAATAAGATCCCTAAAAATACCTAATTGGGGGAAACAAGGTTTGGGAGATAGCTCAGTCAATAAAGCACACTCAGGAGGACCCAAGATAGCCAAGTGTGTTGTTATTATAATCCCAGTACTGAGGACGAAGTGAGGAGAGGGTCCCTGGGAGTTGCTAGCCAATCAACTTAGCTGAATGGGTGAATTCCACAGTCCACAGACCCTTTCTCAGAAAAAAAATAAAAAAAGGATGGATGGATACTGTCTGAGTAATGACTTCAAGGTTGTTCTCTGTTCCATATGCATAGGCTGCAACACACACACACACACACACTCTTAAATTTTTAAACAAAGCTTCAACTTTTCCACATTCGCTAGAAGTATATATGAGCTCCTTTTGCCAATCTCAAAAGAAAAAGTAGGTTAACTTTTTCCTTACTGTAGACCACAATACACCAAGGCAGCTAACAAACATCAAACATCAGATGCCACTGAGAGAAAGGAATGAGAACCAATGGAGGAGATCCCTTTCATGGTATTTTGGGATCCACCACTAGCACCCAACACTACCTACAACAGAGCTGATGATGACCGAAACACAAAAGAGCCACACCCAGTGAGAGAACAGAGGTCATGACAGTCAGAAGTTGAGACCAATTCAGGTGCTTGTCATGGGATGGAACAGATGGTAATAAAACAGGTCCTAAAGCCAGCCATAGGTCTGGGGAGATGGCCCAGGGGTTAAGAGAAAATACTGCTTTTCTATTCCCAGCACTCATATTGGGCAGCTAACAATCTCCGTTAATTCCATTTCTAGGAGCTCTGATACCGACTTCTGGCCTCCATCAATATCTGCCCTCATGTGGACACACCCATACAAGTACACATAATTAAAATTAGTAAGAATTAAAGTCTTTAAAACCAGCCAGTTCAGGAAAATGCAACAAACATGAGAAACACTAGTTAGGTTCTGCTCTTAACAGCATGCCTTCTAGTTCAAATACCTTGTTACAGAATAGCACAGTACCCCCTACAGATGCCGGGCCCCTGAGTCTCCCCTCTTCACCTTATCTTTAACAGACCCTATCATACCTGCATGGGGACTAACTGCTGGACGGCAAACATGTTTCTGATAACGGTATCTAGGAAGAATTTTCCAAAGTGCTTGGACTTAAGAGTACTTACACTGTTGTTCACACTAAAAATGCCATCTTAAGACAGTATCACCCAGCTGAGGTGTGTGGCTCTACAGCAGAGTGCTGGCCTCGAGGTTGTGAGACCTTGACATGACTCCGTAGCATGAGGTGTGGAGGAGCTATGTTCTCATAGAAGATAAGCAGCTATGGTTTCTTACATAACTAACACTTCTGGTGTCATCACTCAGTGCACACGTTAGACAAGATTACTCTCCCTTTCTGAAATCATTTCTTGCCAAGGAATCTTGAGAAAAGAAACCACAAGCTACAGAGCTTCAGGTGGTTCTTCGAGATGGCAAAAGAGGAATCTGTGCTGATTCTAGATGAGGCTCACTTAATGTAATCAGTGCCTCAGCTTTGACTGTCTCTTGGTTTCGAAGTTGAAGCAGACACCCAAGTGATGTGTCTTTATAATCTCTTCTCTTACTTAGCCTGCACCAGGGAAATAATACCCACTCATACAAAGGCATGCTTCGTGGTGATCAAAATCACTCAAATACCCTGAAAACCAGAAAAGACACCAAACAACTCCAGTCAGAAGAAAAAAAGAAAAAAAAAAAGTCATCTGTCCTCGGGTACGACACTGAAATGTTTTCTCGTCTCTGTGCAGCTGTTGATGTGCTACCAGGACAGCCTTGGTACAGTTCAGTGAAACTTGCAGAGCACTTTTTGTGACTGCATATTCAAGTGTGCAATGCAGAGGCGGTTTAATCCTAAGAATTTCTAAACTTCTAAGTAACTCATAAAAGATTTGAGCCACTCCAAAGACCACCGTATGTTTCCCCTCTTTTTCTTTTCTTTTTTAATGAAAGGATATCCCAATTACTGATTTAACAAATATGTGCAGTGTTTCCAAATTAAGTTGCTTCTTCCACAATCATTCTTCCCACAAAACATGGCACGTTTACATTATACCGTTACTCCCCCCAGGGAAGGGGGGCTACCACCCAGTCCTCTACTGTCTCCCTACCACTATTCCCTTGACCTTCTAACCTCATTTCCCACACGTTTACTTCCGTTGTCTTTCTAAAACAGCCAAGGGTACTCAGTGGCTCTCTTTTGCCAGGCATCAAAGTCCACACATTACTGTTGAACATGGCATTCTTCATGATACGGTTTGCACCTATTTCCAGACCCCTCTTAGTGATCACCTCACAGCTTTCTCCCCTGTGTGCACTGACATTCTCACTTCAACCCTGTGACTGTTCCCAGGGATTTGTGTTTCTACCTAGAAGACAGGCTTGCTTTCTGTTTCAGGGTGACTCTTACTGATTCTCTGAGACTTGCATCAATGTAACCTCTATTGAGAAGTCTTCTCCAATGCCCAGGAGAAGGAGCTGCTCCGTCTCCCATCTATCTGCAAGCATGTGCACAGGTTCTCTCATTGAGGTTTTTATCTAAGTTAGATTTCTCCAATGGGCCAGAGATCTAACTGTCAGGAACCGGGGAAAAAATACAACCATCAATTTCCTTAACCTCAGCACATAGCACAGAGTGTGTGTGTGTGTGTGTGTGTGTGTGTGTGTGTGTGTGTGTAGCTTATTATAAAACAGATACATGATGTCACAAGAAAAAGTGTGTTTCATGATGATATATACAAAAACACTTTTAAGCAGATCTTATTTTTAAAAGCTTGTCATGAAGTAGTCTCTGACTAGGAATCATCTGCCATCACTCTCTCAGTCCAGCTCTCAGACAGTGACCATTTAACCACCTGGTGGGCATTACCATCCTTCCAAGAAACCCATTCTCAGAGCCAAGCTGCTCTTGCTAGCAAATGCTGCTCTCCTGTGCTCACGCAGGAAGACCAACTGCCCTGAATTCAGACTCAGAACTAAGGCAGCAGCCCTCCATGAAGCCCCTGATTCTGCATTGCTTTGTTTCTCAGCCAAAGTGTCTTGGCTGCGGCACAGGCTGCACCTATAGTTCCACAGTTAAGGCTGCTGCTCCCTTGGGATGTCACTGGCACCCATTATTACATCAGCCTGGAAGAGGCTCTCTGAAGCCAACAATATCTTCCATCTATTTCTCGACTTTGCTGAAAGGGAACCTTTCAATTCTCTGGCCCCACCTAATCAATACTTTGTTTTTCTTTTTGGCAAGCAGTTCCCTTAGCAACGGTTGTTTTATAGGCTTGAGAACAGCATGCTTCTAAGACAAACGCTTTTACAGTTTTCTATTACAGAACATTATACTTTAAAATAACTTAACAGAAAATCAACAGGGACTGAAAACAAAATTTGATTAGATCACAAAGCTAATCAAGTCTGAGACGATTTGAACCCAATGCTGGTTGAGTCTTTCCTATCCTAATCCTTGAAACCAAAAATGTTTCAAATGTCAGAGTTTTGTTTTATAAATAAAATATCTAAAATATCACTGTATCAGTGCTCAGGAACCCTTGCACTTCATTCAGAGTATTTCAGAGAGCAGGATCAGGATGATCTATGGACAGCACTACATAGTGTTTGGTGAATTCTCTTTGCAGATATGTACACAGCAAAGCATCTGACTTTTGACACAGTTCCTGGCTTCTCTTTGGGCTGGTCAGAACAAAACTATAGAGTCAAGATGGGGGTACTGCTTCTTATTTATAACAAGTCTTTTTTTTTCCCCCTGGCATTCTACATGGGACAAGATGTAGTCTCCTAGACAGAAGGATCAACAGATACTATTGCAAATGTATTTTAAAGCTGGTTATCTACAAGATAACGAATCAGGGTGTTAATTAGTTTTCCTAACTGTAGGAGAAACCTAATGTTGTGTACAAATTCAAAGGGCTGAGTTTCCAAGTGTGTCCAAGTACATGAGTATATCTAAATGCCAACAGGACACCCCCATCAGGGTTTTACCTGGGAATTCCATGCTTTTTTCCTCCAGATAGCCACATTTTGGTGTGCAGAATTCCCCTCTAATATACATCTCATACCACCATCCTATCGCACAGAACTAGTGAGATGAAGAGTTGAAAATTAATACAATAAATAACCTTACTTTCAGTTAAGAGCCTCCTCAGGGGGAGATTTTTTTTTTAATCTTATTTAACTGTTGAATTATTTACTGTGCAGCACAATACAAGGTTGTAAAAGGGAAGACTCACTAAAAGTCTAGTGCTATAACCTCTATTTGGACCAAGATGCTTTCTACTTGGCATTGTTGTGGCCAAATGGATACTGAGGGGAGAAAGACAAATACAAATTCAGTATTATTATATAGACAGTTGTGATCTTGTGTGCCATTTGAATGGTCTTGGGGACTTTAGACATCTGAAACCCACACTTTAAGAACTTCCCTTCTGATGCATGGCTTTGCCCTGCTGGTTTCCAAGTCAAACAGCAGGAGACGCAAGACTAAAAGCCAACAGTGAACCAGGCATACCTCTTAACGTCATCACTGAGCCAGATAAATGCTTCTTTTGGTAGTTTCAAAGCAAAATGTTCCCCTGAGGCGCATGTACTCAAATACACAGTTCCTAGCTGGCAGGCACTGTTTAGGAAGGTTATCCAGGGGTGTGGCCTTGATGAATTAAGTATGTCACTGGGGGCCAGGCTTTGAGAGTTTAAAAGCTTGCCCTACTTCCTGGTCTTTCTCTCTGCTTCATGTCTGCAGTTGAATATGTGATCTCTTCCTGCTTCCTGCTCTGGCTGTCCGCTGCCACACCACACACACCTTACTGACTCTCCCTGTGAATCCATAAGGCCAAAGAAACTCTGCTACATAATGCTTTTGTCCTGGGATTACATCACAGCAAGAGAAACCTGACTAGTATGCTTCTCCAATGCAATCACACTAACATGGGATTTGTAAGTGACAAATGTCCACATAAAAAACAAAAGCCATACTTGTTCATGGGATCTTTTTCTAGGATGTTAATGTTATGAAAAACAAAACAAACAAAAAACAGAAGCACGTTATTTGGGATCTCTTTTAAAAAATCAGAGTAAAAGTGTCAACAACACGTAACCTAGTTTATATTCCTTCATTTAGTACAAAAAAAGGGGGGGGTTTCCCCTACTGGCTAAATTTCTTCTACATGAAGCCACCTAGAAAGGTTGCCAGCAAAAATAAAAAAGCGGAAGAAACTTTGGCATGTATTTTTAAAAAAGAAAGAAATACGGAAGTAGAGGAAGAAATGACTCTTGGATCTTGTGTTTAATTCTGACAAAAATCGGACTCCATCATAAACAACCACCTATCTTCAGGCTCCAAGTTCTGAAGGAAGCAAAATAATTCTGGGCTTGTGTAAAAACTGCCAGGTATCCAGGGCCAAGCCATGGACAGTTTACACCTGTGTCGATATGTTCATTCAAGTTCATATAGTTTACATTTATCCCCTAAGCACATGGCTTGCTAGGTTTTAAGTGACATCCCTTAACCCTGTTTTTTCTTTTTTTTTCAATAGCTCTTGTAGTTTTAGTACAGCAGGCAACTTTGCAGAATGTAAATGGCTTCCTTATTTAATATAGAACACGTGTTAGTATTGTAAAAACACTGCCCCCTATTTATTTCTTCCTGGACTGCCTTTCTGCTCTGTAGTATCTAATTATATTCTGGAGGGTGTCTATAATGGCCTTCCTCCACATCTGATACACAAGATCTGAAATACGAAGCCTTCCATGCGGAGCATAGAGAGGAAGAGCCAAGCAGAGGGATGGGTGGAAGCCTCATACAAGAAGTCTGGGAGGCCCTGAACTCCAGGTCTAAGAGGAACTAGAGCTCTCCTCTACACCATATGGGATGCTCCAAGAATTCATTGTGAACCTGCTAGTCTAACTAATCCAGGATTCAATTTCTCTGCTCACCAAAGTATTCTTCCTTCTGGAAATAGAACATTTCAGGTATGACAACACTTACTAGATAGAGGGCTGTGCTAATACTGAATTCTGCCTTCTTGAAGGTTGAAGACATTTGTACACTCAGAGCCTCACATTTTCTATGTAGTCCCTGCTCAGGTTAATGGAGTTTCCTCCAAACTAAGAGATAGCTGCACCCCATTAGGGAGCAGTCCACTTACCAGAGATATGCTAGAGCAGATATTTAAAAGCAAGAAACAAACTCACGGTACATGCTCAGAAGCTCACTGTGATGGAATTCTGTTGGCAGAGGAGAGGCGTCTGGGAATATAGATCAAATTAATTCTTCAGCTGTTCACATATCCCTGTGGATATGGTAAGATGCAAATAGCTAATACTGGTATCTCTTTCCACGCCAGCCTAGAAATCCCAGTGTAAGGTCCAAATGCTGCTCTGTGCAGCCCCGGCTCCCAGCTGGCTGTTATCAGGCATTCCGTTCTGCTCCAGGAGGAATCTAATGCAGTGAGCGTTCATTCTCTCTGCTCTGGGCTTAAAGCCTATGTTCCAGAAGCCAGTGCTTCCCTCTCAATTTCTTTCTTGGGCTGTAATCAGTGCAAAGCAGGAAGGTCATGTTTGTGGTTGTCAGTAGAAAGAACTTCTGCTATACAATTTTGCTTTGCAGACATTTGGGCAAAATGAAACTGCTAGGTGTATTTCACTATTCATTAGAGTGGACAAAAGCAGAGTCCCTAAATCAATGGTAATACTAAAATACTCCCAAGAATATTTGCTCAAGATGGAAAGGGACTTAACTACGTAATGGGCAAGAACACTGATTCCTATTGTGTCTCAGTGATGAATTCATTGAAAATGAGCAATACAGTTAACTAGATCATTTTATTATATATTTATTAGTAAGTACATGGTCCTACCTCATGCACTACTCATCAGATGCTTTTGCAATGCCACTAACAGGAGGGCCAGAAATGAAGTGCAAATGTAAATGGACTCATTCTTTCTATACTTCAATCACAGATTCTTCAAGCAGATACTGGTTATCTATTGTTGTGCCAACTGAGCCAGGTACTAATGCCCTGTGATGTCGGGAAAAGGGTCTATACTATCTATCATTCAAATCTAAGTCATATAACAAGTATGTGGAGATAGTGTGGGAAATCTATGGGAAGAATGATTTCCTTTCTGACTTCAGAATGCTGGTGAAGAATACTGAGGAGGTTTAAGAGAAGATAAGTCTTGATTCTAGGAGCAAAGATTTCAAAATCTAGGAGCAAAGATTTCAAAAACAAGAAAAACAC